AAAACCAGCTGCTCACATGGTCAAGAAGGACCATCAGCCTAACAGTGTGCTAATGATCCATTGTTAGGCTGATGGTCCTTCTTGAGCATGTGATCAGCTGGTTTTGGTTGTCAGCAGCAAACTGGTTGATCCACTCTGAGAAGGTGCTATTTAAGAGACTGAGCTGAAAACAGCACCTCAGACTGAGGAAGTCCTCAGGATGAGAGACGAAACGTTTCTACATTTTTTTGCTTTGTTTTGTTTTTTGTTTTTTTGAATGTCCAGAGGACCAGATTGAACTTTTTTGGATTTTTCTACCTGGATTACTGAGCAGCATCAGGATATATTAAAAAAGGTTACAAACGTGATTTACCATGTCCTGGGCGGCTGAAGATCTTCACCAGCAGAACCTCTGTTGGCCCGGAGCTCTCGAACATTCAGGCTCTTGCTCTGATCAGCGTTTTATTTCTGATCTGAACCGGAGAACGTTTTGAAACAAACCTCTTGAAGAACTCGTTTTTCTACTTCATTGGAGCACAAACCTGCCGCTCAGAGCTGAGGAGCCCAACGTCTCATGATGTGTCCCAAACCATCTGTTGTTCTATATCCATCGAGATGCACATGTGAACTTAACGTCTGACCCTCTGTTTGCTCCTCAGTCATCGAGGCCAACCATCATGTGACCGAGTACATCCCAGAAAGCGCCCTGCTCATCTGCTGCGGCTTCATCCTGGGGGGGATGATCTGGGGGGCAGACAAGACGCAGACCTTCAAGCTGACCCCTCGGGCCTTCTTCTTCTTCTTGTTGCCGCAGATCATCCTGGACGCCGGCTACAGCATGCCCAACAAGATGTTCTTCACCAACCTGGGGGGCATCCTGATCCACGCCATCATCGGGACCTGCTGGAACGCCGCCAGCCTGGGGCTGTCTCTGTGGGGGTGTCACAAGGGCGGAGCCATGGGTGACCTTTTTACTTTATTTCTCTGACACTGAAGGAAGCTGTGACAGATCATTTATAACCTTTCTTACATTATTTTATTTTTTATTGTTGTTATTATTGTTTTAATTATATTATTATTATTACTATTGTTAATATTGATATTATTGTTATTATTATTATTATTATTATTAATAATAGTTATTATTGTTATTATCCCAAAATTTTAAACATTTCCTTAAAAGGTTGAGAACTTATTTTTAAAACTAAAACAATATTTAAATTAACTAAATAAATAAATGTTCTTTAAAATAAATAAATAGGGCTTTAGAAATTAAAAAATTATCTAAATATATGATTTTTTTTAAAAACAAGTAAACATTAACTTTTTAAAAACAAACAAAGCTGTACTGAAAGAAATATTTACAATAATTTAGAGTAAAAATAAATGAATTTCACAGAAAACAATAAATGTTTGCTGTGGAAACTAAAGAAAATCGTAACTAAAAACCCAGAAATGATAAGTTTGGCATTAAAAAAAAATTACAAAAGTTAAAAAAGTTTCAACAATTGCCAAAAATGAACAAGCGTCATTTTAGAAAATTTCCTTATTTTCAATAAACTCTTCTGATATAATTAATTGTGGAAAAAAAGCTAAAAGTCCCCTGATAAATTAACCAATTTGAAATAAAGTTTAAAATATAAATCTAGTGAAATATTTAAAACTTTAAATTTAAATTGACTTGAGTCAAACATTTAAACAGAAAAACTCTAACAATTAATTATATCAGAAGAGTTTATTGAAAATAAGGAAATTTTCT